AAGGCAAGAAATCCCTCAGACAGGTGAGGGTGTCTCAAAGAGAAGTAAGAAGAGAGCGTGGATGGCCTCTGAGTCATTGTGTTCCCTCTTTTCCATATTAATGGTGTGAATGAAGATTGGTAAAAATGAAATAGAAATGTGATAGATGCTCTGCAAAGAACATATAGTAACTCCTTCTTATGAGAAGGAGCATCAGCATGGTGAGCATACTCTGCCTGCAAGCGATGCTATATTTTCTACAGTATCAACCTTCATGACAAAGAAGTGCTGTAGCAATTCCTGGATTTGGAGAGAGAGGTGGCCCAACTTTTTAAACTGAACCTGAAGTTTTGGGGACTCAGTTCAGGAGTGAGATTTTAATGAGTGAATGCACATTGTTTTTCAAAAATCAGTTCATTCCATCAGTATTGACCTGGGACCACCAGCAGAAAAGGGTACAAAGGGCTCCTGGGACTGGTGGCCTATGCCCAGAGGGGCTGAAGTGCCAAGGCCACATAGCAAAGGGAAAAGGAGGTTCTCTTTGGAATGGTGTCACATTAAATTTGGAAAAAGACTGGCGTAGCTTGTTTTCTAGCAGTAACTGATAGCTGAAGAGGAGAAGGTACTGCTGCCAGCACCCAATAGAGTCTCCTAACAGGGTAGCAGATAAACCAAACAGCTGAAACACCAATAAAACCCATCACTGTTCCAGGTGTAAAATTGTGTTTGTAGCAGCCTCTGATAGAATAGATGGGCACTGATCTTCTTATAGCTGTGCCTCTCTTAAAAAAAATTAACCATAGCAGATGGCTTAATTCACCTTTGAGGGCAATACAATCCCATATGAGACTCCTGGTACCATTTCTGTAAACTCAAGTCTTCCTGTCTTTTGTTGATGTCAGCAGAAAAAAAATCTCAGTGGGGTTAGGTAAAGCTGCCCAACAGATCCAACCTCACATGTTTAAGCCTAGATGAGCCAGATGTACTGGATGATAAGCACAAGCAAGGAAACAACAAAATCCTTCAGTTATGGAGAGGAAGAAAAACACTGCAAGTTTCTGCACCGTAAGAATACCATCCTGTGGCATCTGAAAAATGCTGACATCCTGATCCAAATGGCCTCATCTCATTTTCTTGGCTTACAGAGTGCAGCAAGAGAGCACAGGCTCTCAAACCTCTGAACATATTACTTTGATAAAAGCAACAAAACTAATAGAGAACTGGTCTGGAAACCACACAGGAGATGGAAAAGAATCTCGTCATAAATTAAAACAAAGAAAAATAGTGGAAGCCACCTGGGAAAGGCCCGAGGACCTCATAGGATATCCCATACAACCCAACAACAGCAACCTAATTAAAAAAAACAGCTGGAAAGCAAAAATTATCCCAGGGAAAAAAATTTAGGAAATGGAGGTCTTTTGAGACAGAGACTCAGAAACTGAGGAAATGATCCTCTGAGCTGTATGTGGAGACAAGTAAGTGGCTGGGGACACAGCCTTCCCATCAGACCTGGGCAAGTCATTTAGTCTCTCTGTTCTTCTGCCTCTAAGATTATTTAAAAAATCCCTTCCCAAACAAATGGTACCATGGCAAACTATGAAAAATCCTCTTCCTACAAGCAGCAGCTTCCAATCCCAGAAGAGCCCTGTGCTTCCCTGTATAACAGCCAACAGAACAGTGGCCTTGGACCAGCCAGCACGGGCTGGGCACTGGCACTGCCCAAGGGACACTGTTGGGACCGGCTGGGTGTGAGCTGAGGAGCACTACAGAGGGTATGTGTTCAACAGGCACTGCTGAGTGCTTGGCAAGAAAAGTGCCAGGATCCAGACATGGTCCTCTGCACTTCCATCAGGATCTCAGCCAAAGACATGCCTGACTCTGACTATTAAATTGAACCAGGCTAGACAGCTACTCAGAGATGGAAAATGCACCAGCAGCCAGGCTCATTTTCCAATATATTTACTTATCCTGGGAGCTGAGGAGTCCATCCCACACCGGCTCATACTGCATTCCTGAGGATGAAGTGCTGGACCAGGGGTTGGAGAGGCCTCATGTCTTCTCCCACCATCGAGATGCTCAAGTCCTGCAGCACAGGAAGCAGCTCATAATCAGGAAGTCTTGGGATTTATTTCCTGGAAGCAAGCAAAATTGTTCCTTAGGATTTTGATGAAAGAAGCTGTTTTGTGCTCCACAAATTGGTGCCTTTTCTAGCACACTGAGAGGGCATCTTTGCTCATTTGTCCCACTCCTCTTGCTGGGACAGATGGATGGACCAAGTCACCTCTCTCCTACCCAGGCTGAGAGATTGTGGTGCCTCACCTGACAAACAGGGCCATGACAAACTATAGTGAAAACCCCAATTCAGGCAAATTCCCATCTGTTTAGTTAAGATAATTTTAGTTTACTACTTTGTCTTTTTTTTTTTTGGCAGTTGCATGTGCGCAATTAACTGCAATCTTGGCTTTCAAAAAAAAATAAAGCACCCTAATTAGCATATTAAGCCTCCTCATTTCCCAATACTGTATAATGTTGTGAAAGCTAATCTATAATGTATTGGATGTTATGCAAATTTGAGGTACTCCATATGGGGTTTATAAAGGAATGCAAATTAAAAATAGTGTTTGGAATAGGACTGGGGGGAGGGGAAAATTTGCACAATAAAATATGCAGGCAGGAGGAAAGGTGTTTATAACCTTCTCCCTATTGTTTCTGTATTCTCAGCTGCACAATGCTTTTCAAAGGGGAGAGATGTATTGCATAAAATCTCTCCAAATTGGATAGTTTTTAAATGAAATTTAAAATGAGAGCACTGTTCTCTAAGCAATAATTCACCCCACTCTCTGCTGGGGCTTGTAAGGAGTAGGTAAAGACACTCAGCTTTGCCTGACTGGCATTGCAGTCCTGTACTGCTGCTCGTAGCATGTTTGCCTGGGTGTCACCGGTGGTCTCGACACAGCTCAGCTACCCAGGAGGGTCCACAGTGGTGGGTTGGCCAAGACCTGCCCAGCTGCCATTGGTGTAACCCAGTGGGGCAGGTGCATTTCCTGCAGCTCCCGTGGTGTTTGCGGTGTCTGTGGAGTGTGCTTTGATCCCGTTAATATTTTATAGCCCTACCTGTAGGAGGATGCAAGCGTTGCTGCAGCACAGCTGGCGTTTTAGGCTTGCTCTGGCTCCTGGTGGAGGCTCTGTGCCTGCTGCCAGCACCGAGCCAGCAAACACGCTCTGTGTCGTGCGGCTTGTCACCGCCACCCGTCGACTGTGTCCGGCTGAGTGCAGACAGCCTGCCCTGATTGATCCTTAATTAGATTACAGCTCCCGCTCAAAAATAGCTGGTTTATAAAAATAAAATCTTGGCTGGTGTCAAACCAAGCCCTGTGCAGACCAGAAGTGGTGCTGCCAGGAAGCTCTGCAGGCAGTGCTGGCATTGCTGCTGGGACCATGGACCAGTGGTGCTCCCACCTCGATGGCTTTTCCCTGCTCTTGCCTCCCGTGCTGGGTCATGTCAGTGCAGCCCATGTGGCATTCAGCTCAGGAACTCTTGAACATGCTCATTTTACTCATGGTACCTCACAAGCTGCCTGGGCTTGGCTGAGCACAGCCTGTCCAAACCTCCATGGGGCTGTTGCCCTCCTCCCAAGGGCACATAGCAAGGCAATGCCGACAGTCTCACAGCCAGCTCAGAGGCAGCGTCTTGGCAGATGAGGGAACAGGGCTCTTCTTTACCAGCTGCTTCTCCCAGCGTATTGTCCTGCCCTGGGCATGGCAGGGCTCAGCCACTCCTGTTGCTCAGGGCTGTCCCAGTCTGAAGACATTTTCCTAAATGCCACTGTGTAATTAAGCTCGTATTTAAGGTGTTTTGTATAGGTCATGCTGCTCTTGAGTCTCTTCCACTCTGCAGAGTGGGCACTTTGGGCAGGGGTGGGAGACATGCCGGGAGCAAGAGCCAGACAGCAGGACAGACATGATCTGTGTGTCCTCTTCTGACAGCAGGCCTGTATATGTGTCCACTTGGTGTTATCCCATGCAAAATGGCACAGCATCACTGCAGATAATAATCCAGTGCTTTTGTCCCCAACAGCTGCTCTGCACAGCCCTGGAATGGGGATCAGAGCTGTTCAAGCAGGAGCAGGAACTGAAGATAACCCTTTTGCAGGGAGCCTGTCTCATGGAAATGGGCAGGAAAAAAAGCAAGACATCACACAAGGAGGAAATGGAAATGGTAAAACCCAACTGAGAGTTCCTCAGGCGCTGCTTTCCCACAGGGAAGGGGCAGATGAGTTCAGGTCCTCCCTGTGCTGTGGGCTCTTGGCAAGAGCAGGCAGCAGCTCCCTTTGTCCTGCCAGCATTTCCCACCCTGAGCACTTTCAGCTGGCGTTGCCATATTCACTAATTTTCTTCATAGAGGTCTGTGTTTGCTTATTTTCTGCTGCAGTTTCCTGGACTGAGGGAGCTTGGGATGCAGCAGCTCCAGGGAGTGCAGCCCCTGCAGCAGCAACCACAGGAGCTGGAGAAACCATTGCCAGCAGGGACACAGCCATGAGGCTGGCAAAACCTCCCTCCATAAACCCATCCTGGGGGGTTTGCTTTGCAGATGTGCACACACACCCCCACGGGGCTGTGGGACCGGGAGCCACACTGTTTGACTGCCAGAAGCCACAGTGTCTGGTTTGGGGGCTTCTGTCTGTTAGTGCAATAGGAGGGTCCTGCTAGATCAAACCCACCTGAATCCGTAAAGCTACTGCAAGTGCCTGTGATGCACCAAACTGGGAAATTGGCCTTGCTTTGTTTCTGCTGCCTTCATTTAACAGTGAGTGCCGATTACTCAAAGCGATATGGGCAGGACCTGGTAATGTAGCGATGCTCTAGCGTTAACTTAAGGGGATGATCCAGTTGCCTGCAGTGTAAATACTTTGTGGCCAGGAACCCTGCTTTATCGCTTTGTATAGTTTTAAAGTAGTTTAAAGATTGAATAACATAAAATAACATAATATAATGTTATTTATGTTATTTCCCACGTGAAGAACTCCTGTAAACCTTGCAGTATTGAAACTCAGTGAACAAGGCATCTTAGACAAGCTGAAAAACAAATGGTGGTACGATAAGGGTGAATGTGGAGCCAAGGACTCCGGAAGTAAGGTCAGTCGCTGAAGGTCTTTTTGTACTGATTAGCAATCACATTTTGACCCTCTGTTTGTTTATACCAAGAATGACTTTTCAGAAGTTGATATTTACATTTTGAAGGTTGAAAGAAAAGAATAGAAAAAAAATAATTAAGTCTCAGAACATGACAGCGTTTTTCTTATATGCAGTAACAGACTGTAGTTGTAAGTATGTTTTACTATTTGAGTATTTTGCTAGAAAAACATGGAAAGAGAAGCCCCCAAAGCCTCCCAAGCTGGTGTCTTCATTTAAATGTGCAAGTTTCAGCACAGTCACTGTGTATTATTCAGGCCAGCATCTTTTCTTATTTTTTGGTTTTATTGAAAAAACACATTTTTGTTTCAAAATTATGACTTAGATTCTCTACATGTCAGTTTGGGAAACAGTCACGTGCTTGCGAAGGGCAGAAATTTTCAGGATAGATCCCTGATAAGGAAAAAACATCTTTCCTGCCCTATTTCCACATTCAGTTTGAAATCAGTTGGATTTAAAAAAATCTAGAAATACTGACGGTAACTCATTACCGAAATACTGTATATTCCTTTTTATACTGCTTTGAACCATTTTGCTGCTGCACTGTCCTGTTGTCTACCAGCCATGGTGGACCACTATGGACCCCAGGAGAGATCCAACCCCTGAGGTGGATCAGCCCAGTAGCTGCACACTTAAATTGCAGGAAATATTTATTTACACCACTCAGCTAAAAGAAAACACAGAGGACTTTTTTTTTCTAATGCTTATAGACCCATTGAGGAGAAAAATGCTGTAAAAGTGCTGGGCTTGTTGGAGTGAAGGACATTCGCAAAGGCACCAAGAGGAAGAGAAATCCAGCTCCAGCTGAAATCGGTCGCAGTTGAGTGCCTAACTCCCCTGGTGCCTTTGGAAGTGCTCTCTGTAATCATTCAAACAGAAAACTATAATTTCAAAGCACCCTCTCAGTGTCAGAGGACAATTTCAAGTTCCAGCAAAGCCAATAATAAAATTTCATTGATTTCAGCTGAACTGGAAGTTGCTTAGAGCACAACCCTGTAGCTGTTGTGTGAGATAAATTTGGGAGCATGGGATATCTGAGCACAGAACAGCTGCAGAGGGGTAGTGTAATTGAAAGGAGGTGTAAAAGAGTAAGATCTTTAGTTTAAATGGCAGGTTGTTTGCTACAACCACACGTATCCGAACTTCCCATGAAATGCAGACACTCTTAAGGTAGATCATATTTTATTCTGACTATATGCAAATTTTGCTCTCCCTGGAGAGACTCATTAACTGAGCTCTACCACCAAGTGTGTTCCCTGGGTGCAGCCAGGTTACTTTGGCAGCTGCCCATCCATCCAGGCCAGCGTGGCGTGGCATCCCAACTGGGCCTGTGCCAGCCAACCACTGTTCCTGCCCACAGCCAGCACACCCATGCAGCAGCAAAAGGGTTGCAGCTCTATTTAATCCATTTACAGAATCCTGTTCTTAAAAATGCAAGCTTCTCCTCCATCTGACATGTACTGAAGGAAGGTAAACCCTGGCCAGAGATTTTTGTGTTACAATATCTGGTTTTACTTAATAACTCACTCTCCTAAAGGTGCTAGTTTAGCTCAGGGCTTTGCTGCTTGACCTCTAAGTAACTGACCATCTTCCTAGGGGTTTTTTTTCCCCTAATTGTTGAAAAAACAGAGAAGTTTAGCAGCATCTCAGTAATTTTACATACGTTCACCATAACCAAGTGTGTAGTGGTTTGGCTTTTTCTAGTTTTATCATGGCCTTCTGTAAAACCTGCTGTTTTACACAGCCACTGTTTTTCCTGGCACAGCTTTCCTGCAGTGCCTTTGCTACCAGGGATGCTTGGCCATAGGCAGGTTTGGTTTGGGACACCGAAGGCCTGGGGAAGTCAGTGGCCAAAAAAAAAAATCTCTTCACCTTGGAGTCAGCTAGGGTTTCACCCACCACAGGGTGGAAGACAGAGTGGTCACTGGTGCACAGCCCCAGGCTGTGGGGATGGGGGGACAGCACTGGTCCGTGAGCCAGACACTAAATGCTACTAAACGCTACTAAAGTGTAGCTATTCCAGCTAGGACTAAGTGCAAAGTAGCCTGTTGTCTGTGTGTCTGTCTGCTCCTCGCAGCTAAACTAACGGCATGGCTCGTTTCTCTTAGGACAAGACGAGCGCTCTGAGCCTGAGCAATGTTGCTGGGGTGTTCTATATCCTGGTGGGAGGCCTAGGCCTGGCCATGATGGTGGCACTGATCGAGTTCTGCTACAAGTCTCGGGCCGAGTCCAAGAGAATGAAACTCACCAAGAACACGCAGAACTTCAAACCTGCTCCCGCCACCAACACCCAGAATTACGCTACCTACAGAGAAGGCTACAACGTGTACGGCACAGAAAGTGTGAAAATCTAGGGGTACGGCTGCGGGCCAGGAACTGAACCCCCTGGGGTTTCTTCTTTCTTTCTTTCCTTTAGCTGTCTGTGCTGGTTTGTTGTGTGCATCAGCAGAGAGCTTTGAAACATCATCTTGTGGCAGTCTCAAAGTATCAGTGATTTAAGTTTCTTCCCTGATCAGAAGTAAGCTTGGTACCATCCTGTATTACACACAGTGGTAGCTGGCTTCATGCTGAAGTGAGTAACTCCTCTCTGCAGCATCTTGCTAGTTCAAAATGAAAGTGGGGTTTTTTTTATTGCTCTAAAAATCTTTGTAATCAGGATTCACATCTCTTGCTGGTGACCTCTTCTGCTTTGTTTTTTAAGCTATAATCAGGTCAGGTAAGTGCTTTTAGGAAGTCTCGAAATAATCTGCAGTAGAGCAAACATGTCTATGCTAGAATTCATGAGCTGAATGGCTGAAAAACACTGCTGGAAAAGCTTGGTTAGCCCTTGCCCACAGCCTGTGCCTCTCCCCGGGCTGAGCTCCCTGCTCTTTGCTGCAAGGCAGTGATGAAATCTTTCTGGTTTTATTATAGATCCTCACCCTGACAGCATGCAAGAGGAAAAGCAGCAGAGAATGTGGCTACTTCATGGATTCAGACCACCTGAGCCAGTCGTACTCTCTCCGAGATGTCAGGCATGACACGCATTGATGATGGTGCAATGTACTTTTAATAGGAAAAACTGATATTTTTTTCCTTCAGTGCCTTATGGAAGACTCTGAGACTCACAACAATGCAAACCATCACCGAAATATTCTTGCTTTGCTTGAAAGAAGTAAAAGAAAAAGAAGAGAGGAAAAGAAATAGAAAAGAAAAAAATTAAATAAAAAGAAAATTTTAAAAAAAAAGTAAATGAAAGGAGAAAAAGAGAAAAAGGAGAAAGAAAAGGAAAGGACTGGTAACAAGATATTAGTATGTGAAAAGAAAATTCTTGTAAAAAAAAAAAATCAGTGCAACAAAAGCCATTCTTTGATACCACTGCACAGTAACTGAACTTGTGTCCTGAGAGCAAACCGCAGCCGGTTTCATCAGCCACCCCAATCGTATCAAATTATGAAACTCCTCCTGACACAAAGCCTCAGAAATCTGCTGCGTGCGAACACGGACTGGCCTGCCACTGCTTGTATGAGCTGATGTCAAGATGTTTCAGTATTTACTTACAGTGGTGTGATTTTATTTTGTTTTTCTGAGCCACTTTAATCTCTCCAGCTAATTTGAGCAATTCTGTATAGCAGTAAAACATGTAACACCTGAAGAAAAGAATCTGTGCGTTCAAACCAATTAAGGTCAATGACTGTGAATCTGTAAATCCAAAAGAAAGGAATTTGTGGAGCTGCATGTCTTGCTTCCAGATCAGTAAATTAATTTCTTGACAAGGTAGCTAAAGTGCAGGCAGAAAATACTGCATTCCTTTTTTTGTTCTATCATCAGGCATACCTACAGGTGCTTTATTAAAATGACATTGGGTGGCTTTTAAAATAAAAAATAAAAAAACAACAAAGGAAAAGCTACCTGCTGTTTAGGTTCAGACCATATATCTCTTTCTTGCTGTGCATTTGCATTTTAATTCACTGTTTAATATCAAGCAATGAAGCAAGAGATGTGCAGGTTAGTTTTTCCCAGGCCTGCTTCAGCTTCACCCCAGTTCTCTCCCAACTAGCACTGTGCTCAGCTAATGCTTCTCGGTAACGGTCCTTGTAAAGCAGAAGTAAGGGAAGAGGATAGTAACTCAAATTAGAGCTGCAGTTCCAGAGTAATAGTAAGCGATCTAACATGACTCCTGCTAGTACTGTTATATTATATCAGCTCCTGCCAACTCTTGTTTCATGGCTCCTGGTGAGAGGATGCTCCTGTCCCTGCCTCTCTGAGAGGAGGACACTGCGCTCTGGCCAGCTCTGCTACAGGTAGGGCCTTGCTATTACTCACATCCAACGTCTTAGACAGCAGCAGCGTTTCAGCCTTGAACCTCTGCCTGGAAACTACTTAACTTCATCTTTAGAAAATAAAAAAAAAATAAAATCAAAAGACAAAAAAAACCACAAACCTTTAAACATATTGTCAATCACATGGGAAATGTTCAATGGAATATCTGCATACTAATTACCTCTAATCGACAATATGTATTTTCTGTAGTTTACAATAGAGTTTTATTTCATCAGTAACATACAATGAAAAAGAAACATTTAAACCAGTCTGACCCTTAGGCATTTAGTTTGCTGATGATAGATTTGAACTTTTAATAGGATTATAAAAAAAAAAAAAGTCTTGTTAAAAATAAGTATTTCCAACAAAATGTAATATAAAATCATTTTAAAAGCTCATAGGAGAATAATTTATTGTTCGAGTTTTTAACAAGATATTGACAAAAAAATTTGTTGTTTTGTTTTCATTTTCTTTTCATGAAACTGTGATTTTTTTTTTCAACTTCTGAACACGATGCGTCCCCAGCAAGGGCGAGCTAAAGCTGTGCGGTTATGAGTTGTATTTAAAACAAACATTTTTCTTAAAAGCTGTATAAAAGATGTATGTTTATGAGATCAATTTTTAAGAGTGGAGGCTTCACACCAGTGAAGGGAGTTTGGTAAATGGTTCGATATTTTTTAAACTTGCATGTAAAGCTAAAACAAAATGTGTTGAGTGCTTACCAATTCCGGCTACCAACTTCAAGCTATTGGAAGTTTGGCAGTAGTCTCATGATGATTTGTTTCAGTATATTTTTTTAATTTGTTTTGCTTTGGGAGGTTTGGGGGTTCTTTCCTTTTTCTTATTTTTTTTCTGTCTTTTTTTTTGTTTTTGTTTATAATTTAAGTTCCTATTTTTGGTCGTTGAAACTGCACTTCAGTGGGCAGAAAAATTGCCAAGCAAACTAATGGCTGTAAAAGCATAAACTGCATGTGTGGGCATCAAATTACTGAGCCTCATTTTGATGAGGTGTTGTACAAAGGGTTTTAATACATTTTGTAAATAAAACTGTAAAGAAAAAAAATTAATGAGTCTGCTAATCTTTCAACAGAGGAGAAAGAGTCCCTACCTACTGCTGGCCAGGCAAGCCAATCTCTCTGGAGTGCCCCACAGAATTTACCACAAAATCCTAGAATGATTTGGGTTGGAAGGGACTTTAAAGAGCATCCAGTTCCAACTGTCCCACCACACTCAGGGACACCTTCCACTAGACCAGGTTGCTCCAAGCCCCATCCAGCCTGCCCAGTTTAGGGACCTTGCCTCAGGTCCCAGAGGTGTCACCGATGCTTTGCCCACCACACTGAACCAAGGGTATTGCTGGGAAATGTGTATTTATGGTTTGGTACCTTGCAAAACAACTAATTCATTATTTTCTTGAAGAGTGAAGCTGGTTGATTCTGGCCAGGTCCAAGGGGCACCCTGCAGGGAGTGGGGAAGGGGCAGGGGAGAACCCTCGGGGTTTCAGTCGGAGTGGGATGCTCTGCCCTGCCCCTGCCGTGGGCAGCAGCATGTGCAAATAAATTCCTCAAATGTTGACTGTACAGATACATTTTCTGCAATTCCCTCCTTTTCAGCAATGCTTTTTTAAGGAAAAAAAACAACCTTCACTCAACATTGCAGCTAATCCCAACTAATTTATTGAGTTTACTTCATCCGCAGTGTGTTTTCTTCCAAGTTACCACAAACTATGAACCATAGGAAGTAATCCTGGTATTAAACAGCTGGTGTGCACCCAAATCACACCCTGACAGGGGCAGCCTCTCCAGGGGATACCCCTGGCCACACCACCCTGATGGTCCCTGTCAGGAAAACATCTCCCTGGACTCCTTCCGGGGACCATCAAGTGTGACACACTGCTGTGAGCAGTGCTGGAGCTGAGCTGGGGCAGCACAAGGCTTCCCTTGGATGACTGGGGATGAAAAGATCAGCTCCTGAAAAATAAAAAATCCACCAGTGAAGGTGCTGGGCAGTAGAGCCGTGCAGAGCAGGCAGGCATGGGATCTGAGTGGGCTGGCCAAGGCACACCAGGCAACACAGCCAGCCAGGCTGCATGGAGTGTCCCCACAGTGCTGCCTCTGGCTGCAGGGGAAAAGGGAAAAATGTACGTGGCAATCGCTGGCACCTTTGCCAGCTCAGCACCCAGTGCCTGGTGGTGGGTCCCAACCACGAGGCTGCTTGAGTCTGTCCCCAGTCCCTGTGGAGCTGCACTGGTGCTTGTTGTATGTGAGCACAGTGTTGGGACACAGGCTGAGCTCACCCTGGTGTCTTCAGCCAAGGCTTCAGCAACAGCAAAATAAGCTCAGGAATAAGCAAGGGTAAAGTCAGAGCAATAAACAGCAATTATTTGATTCTAAACAATCCTACAAGGATGAAAGTTTTGGGTTGTTTTGGGGGTGAGCAGAGTGGTGTGCTGGGCACAAGACACAGGCTTCTCTTGCCTTAGGCTTGAGAGCCCTCACTGAAATGAGCCTTTTTATATGTAAAGTGCCCACACAATGAACGCAGAGAGGCATGGAAAAAAGTACTGTTCCATCCTTTAGCCTTCATTTCATGCTCAACACCCAGGCCAATGTGGGTGCACTGCATTTTTCTCGAGAGTGGTCTTGACCCGCTCCTGCTGCCTGACAGCCACACGGGAGCTCTGCACAAGCCATGGGCACAAGTGGTGCTCCCTTCCCCACGGCCCTGCCAAAATATGCCATGGCAAACCAGGCTTAATGTGCCCACTGAGCCTCAGCTTCCAGCTGGGAGGGTGTGAACCAAGTGGCAATGCCAGACTGGTATAACTCTGGCCCTGCATGAGCAGTCAGTGCTGCCCCACCAGGGCCCCCCCAGGCACCAGATCCTGCAAAATAGTGTCAGGCTTTCTAATAAACGTGTGTCAGGTGAAACAAGGCAAGCAGGGCTGGGGACAAAGTGGCACAGGTGTATCCAGTGAGCTGGGAGAGCCTGGCCAGCTGGGACAGGGTGGGCAACTGCCCCACGCAGGACTGTGGCCTCAAGGATGAGGGGCAGGAGTGGGTTTGGCCATTCCAGGCCATTCTGGGGCTAGCACAAATCCAGAGTCTCCCTGGGCCACAAGGACAGTGCATGTTGGACCAAAACCTGGACTTGGATACAGCGGCAATGGTAGCAGAGCCACACAACAGCCCTGCGATGCTGGGCTACAACATGACCCACCACGGCTTTGTCTTTAGACTTCTGGGGGAGGAATAATATAAGCAAAATTCAAAGTAATGCATCCAGTTTCCAGAGCCATCAGTGGGAGCAAAAGGACCTCAACAGTATTCAAGTTCAGGCCTAAAAACCCAAACTAACAGCAGCTCCTCCCCACAGCACAGAGCATACCTGACAACAAAAATAAAATAAATACTGTATCATGTGGCATAGCTTTTTCTTCCAAGGTTTTGTGCAAAGCACTGCAATGTCTGGGTTTTTTTAAAAATAATTATTCTTTATGGGTATTAAAATAATAATACATCATGGATATTAAAATTAAATTACAAAATGTCTTTGGTGCTCATATTCATCATTTCAGTCTGGAAAATTGGCTCTATTTTGCAGGCAGCAATACATAAACAAGATCTGGATAATGATAGCTCTATTCAATTAACCTAAAGGATTTAAGTACAGAGATAATATTTGCACGGATATTATAAATTTCAAAATAATATGAACTCAGGATATAATACAACTAAAATTGGTACTAGGGAGGACAGTGCAGCCCAACAGCTGCAGCTCATCTGGCATTATGCCATGGGCTGGTGCCAATGGGGTCAGGGCAGTGCCACGTCTCACCCAGCCCAGGAGCCCCAGGCTGGAGCCCCATCACCACCACGGG